TAATGCGCAATAATTGGCGCTACTACACATTAGCGCAGACGAATGGTTTTTAGGTGATGTTAATGTGCATTATTAATTTGCATTAAACTAAATCTACTGCACATTAGCACTGGTTTTGCCTGGTGTGCTAAGGCACAGCAGAATTAGTCTTCTGCTCATCGTCTCGTGTAGCTGCGCCCACTGATAGTCATCTTGCTATCAAGTATATGAAAGTATCCATAGGGGGCTCAAGCATGCTTGGGGATATCTTACTGAAGACCAGACCCACAGGATTGAGGATTCTGCACAGAAAAAAAGCCATCATCATTTCTATAATTTTTCTTTCTGCCTTTCCATAGACTGACTCAGGTTCAACCAGAACGCTGCTCACTGAATACTACAAAGCTGCATGTCAGCACCGGCACCGTTTTAAAACAGAGGTGCAGTTCCCATAGACCACCAGTCTCAACATGTCATGTTCTGTTTCCTTTTTATAAAATCTCCTTATATCAAGATGGGGCATCATATGCTGGGGCTCTCTCTGTTGACTGCACTTCCATAATAAGGACAAGGGCAGCAGCTATGTTTCTGAATGTTGGATAAATGTGATTTCCAAACCGTTTCCAAAGCTGGTACCAAACTGACACAGCCTCTCCCCTGACCCCTCCCACAAATTATACACTAAAATATTAGCTACAGCCCTTCTTTTGTCCTTTGCATTGTGGCTGCTCTATTTGCGCCATATGACCGTGTGTCCCATGGCTCTTTCCAAGCCAGCCCTCAAAGGTATCCTCCTTGAAAGGCTTGCAACCCTGGGACAGAAGCATACTTGACAAAGGCCCTTGATACGGCCACATTGCCATCAGCTTCCTCCATGCAAATTTGATGGTAAGACGGTCTGGCATGAGCTTTCTAACACTGCTGGTCCGTGTCAATGAAGCCTTTATTTAGTTAACATACGGACTCCCTTGAATTTGGAGCCGTCTCCTGGAATCTTTCTATAGCTTCTTTCTGATTTAGCCAAGATTTCTCGTTGATTTTCCATCATGGCTTTATACCTACCCATCACTTTAAGGACTGCTGCGTGTGGGACCTTGGGTGTCAGACCTTATGACAAGCTAGGTAAACTTTCTCTATGAATGCTCATAATGTCATACAAAAAATATGTAAAATTACCTTACATTACAGGTAAGGCTATCATTTTGTCAGAGTCACTGAAATCCTGGAAACCATGCAACACTAATCGGGGTGGGCAAAATGCGGCCCGCGGGCCAGATGTGGTCTGCCAGGCCATGCTATCCGGCCCGCGGGGCCCCTAAAAAATTTAGAAAATTAATATTTATCTGCCCCTGGCTGCTTGTCATGTGGCCCTTGATGGCTTGCCAAAACTCAGTAAACGGCCCTCCACCTGAAATAACTGCCCGCCCCGACTAAGATTTTCATGATGCCCCATGAGGCAAAGGGAAGTAAACACGGTATCAAAGTAGATATAGCTCAGCCAGAGAAATTGGTCTCTAGAAAAGACAGAGACACAAGCCCTCCAAACTACAATCCCCGCAAGGCTGTATGCGCTAGTACAGGGTAAGGGTAGTGGATAGCTGTTGGAAGCATGCTGCAAGCACAGGTCATAACTTTTCCAGGAATATTGCTCCCCTCCCACACACACACTTCTGCAGGGACATGTATTAATGATTACCATTACAAAACGCTAGCCTTAATTATGGGTATTTACTGCACACAATGGAAGAACTGTTTGCATAAAAACAAAATTATGCCATGTTCTCTCCCATCAGCTGGGGTCCTGGGTCTACAATCCAACGATAAGACCGGTGCGTAAGGAAAACACAGAACACAGTATAAAGAATTTTTGGCACATCAGCTATTTTCCTCCTTTAATTCTGGTTTAGTTGTGTTACAGTAAAAGGAAGGTAATTTGAGAGTTGCTATTATCCTGCAGGGACAGGACTATCTGGCTCACTTACATATGCAGGGTATAACAGCGCACTTGTGCTGTGTGCATTTTGGCATGCTAATCAATGTATAACTAAGTGCAATCTCTTGCAATGCTTTTACATTTAAAGTCATAAGATGCCTGGGTTTTATGCTTCAGGGAGTTTACAGTGCCCTGGAGATCCATTTGCAAAGGGGGCCTTGATGTAGAGAGGGAAGCAGCCTCCTGGACTACATCACCCATACTGACCCAGGAGTTTCTCTGTGGAGTCTGGGATTCATATGTAGGAAAGGATGTGCTGGGGGTAGAGCGGGGTAGGAGGCTCCTCATCCCCCATCACCATCATTCTTGACCGAGACCCTCCAGGAAAGCTGATAGAGAATGAAATTTCAGCCTCTTCCAAGCAGGGGAAACTCCTTTTGAAGCCAGCAGGACAGGACAGAAGAAAACTTAGCAGCATGACTTCAGCTGAGCATAGCAAGGCCAAGAACCACCCAAAGGCTGAGGGTCACTGCTAGGAGGGTCCGACCTCGGTAGGTCCCCCAAGATCCACACAGATGCCCATCCTGGGAATGTGTCCCCTCCCTGAAAGGGCTATGGGGAGAGAGGACCGCACTTCTCCTCCCAACCCTTGGGTCCCCTTCCACAAAGCTTCCACGGTGAGAAATGAGATGACGCCAAGTTAAGCTCCACGCTACTTCAGTCAACTGGCAACTCTGCTTGTAGCACGGCAGATAAAGCGTTTTCCAACTTCCTTTCAGTCTCGATCCAAATTATCTTGAATGCCTTGATCTTCACAGCATCATTTAAGAGCTCCTTTATTTGATAGAGCTGCGGGAAGAGCTACAGGCCTTGGGTGAGTGGTACGTTAAGGGGCAGTAACTGGAAGGTTGGTACATTTTTCTACTGTATTCTCCGAGGTGATATTTTGTTATTGCAGATCCAGTGACAGCCAGGATGCCAAGAGCATGTGTTTGAACATTTGCTTAAAATAAATACATAAATAAGATTTATAGAGCACCTCCCATCAGCCACGGCTCTGCAGCACTCATGCACACGCAGCATGACAGTTTAGTAAAGAAAACCTAGCCAACTGAAACAGTAGAGGGAACTTAGGTCAGCAGAGTATAATTACCTGAGCTGGAATATGGCTAGGACACTAAGGTTAACACTTGTAAATCCTACGAGAAGTGCCATGTGGTCTTTAATGACCTCCTGTGGTTTTGTATTTCATCAGCAAGACAGCACCTCTGGCAGCAAAGAGCCTGGTAGCAGCGCACCGGGCCACTGCTTCTGCCACATGCTGGCAATCCTACAAGTCCTGTGGAGGTCTCGCACCCAGTGCTGGTGTGGCTTCACCTGCTTAGTTTTAGAGACAGCTGCAAGTATTACAGCAAGATGTGCTACGGCTGGAGGGCTTGCTAGACTTGGGGCTTGACACAGAATCAACAAAGTTAGGGTTAGAAGGGACTCAGAACGTCACATCTTATTCAACCCCATGCCCAAATCAGGACCAGCCCCAGCTAGATCATCCCAGCCAAGGCTTTGTGTAGCCGGGATTTTAAAACCTCCAAGGATGGAGCTCCCACCATCTCTCTGGGTAACCTGTTCCAGTGTTTTTACTACCCTACTCCTGAGAAAAGTCTTCCTAATATCTAACCTAAACTTCCCTTGCTGCAACTCCTTGTTCTGTGATCTGTCACCACTGAGAGCAGCCCAGCTCCATCCTCTTTCGAACCTCCGTTCAGGTAGTTGAAGGCTCCTATTTAATCCCCTCTCAGGCTCCTCATCTCTAGACTAATTAAGCCCAGTTCCCTCAGTCTTTCCTCCGAAGTCATGTCCCCCAGGCCTCGCACTGTTTTTGTTGCCCTCCACTAGACTCTCTCCAATTTGTCCACATCCTTTCTGTAGTGGGGGCCCCAAACTGAACACAGGACTCCAGATGTGGCCTCACCAGTGCTGAATAGAGGGGAATAATTGCTTCCCTAGACCTACCGGCAACACTCCTACCAATGGAGCCCAGGATGCTGTTAGCCTTCTTGGCAACAAGCGCACACCGCTGGCTTGTATGCAACTTATTGTCCACTATCACCCGCAGGTCCTTTACTGCAGAGCTGGTGCCCAGCCAGTCACCCCCAGTCTGTAGTGGTGCATGGGATTGTTCTGTCTTAAGTGCAGGATTTTGCACTTGTCCTTGTTGTACCTCATAAGATGCCTTTTGGCTCAGTCCTCCAATTTGTCTAGGTCACTCTGAATCCTACCCCTACCCTCCAGTATATCTACTACTGGTGACTTGCTTGGGGTCATCTGCAGATACTGTTCAAACAGGAGGACGTGATCCTTAATATCTTATGCCATGTTGATGGGTGTGTGCGTGCACTATTCCAGATGAGCATAATGATCCAAATGTCCATAGTCTGTCCCACCTTCTGGGCTGAAAGAGATGCAGTCTCCAGATATGAGGGCTGAACACCAAGGGTGAAGAAAGCAAAGAGAGCAAAGCACTTACACAACAGATGAGAGAGCAAAGCACTTACAAATGGATGATGATGACTTGTTTTTTTGCACCCCAGATAAGTCTGAATTGCACCCAAAGGGTTTGATGAGGGCGGGGGGAAGAAAGAAAACACACAATCCAATCCTGGCCATGCAACTGAGAGTTTGATTAGATTCCCCTGCTTGGGATTTTGAGGTGTACCATGTGGAAGAAGAGAAACATTCATTATTAAAGTGCTGAGCTATAAGTTCTACTGAGCCTCATTAATTGCATGTCAGTGAAATGCCAAAACCTTAAAAATATTGTATTTGTCTTCCAAAATGTAAACAGTGCCATAGAACTGGCCTGGTTTTAAATCACGGAAATAGTCGTATATCAGCAGCTGGGTGGACAAAGCAACATGCTGTCCTTCCTGGAATAAAATCCTGCTGCCACACGCCCACCCTGACCTTCTTTAGCTCTTCATGTCTCATGGGTCCTTCGTTCCCTTTTAACTGGAAGAAGACTTGCAAGCCTCCCCCTCCCACACATGCTCCTGCAGGATCCATATTTACGGCACGTCTCTGAACTCACCATGGAATTCATAGCAAAGTGATTATGCTGCGTCTGTAAGTCGAGGGCATGTTGGTAGCTCACGCCGATCTCTGTGTGACTCTGTAGGAACAACTCCTTGTTGTGGCTGATCCAGTCGAACATCTGTAGGACAAAGACAGACAGACAGAGTCAGGGAGGAAAAGAGTAGGGACAAGCGCAAAGCACAAGCAGACACAGTCCTGACCCAGATTTACACAAATGAGCAAAAGCAGATCCAGCTGCACCATAAAAAAAGTCCCTCATCTACATAAAGTGCAGTCAAACAATGGCAATATTGAATTTTTTTTACCCTATTCTACTATAACAGAATAATAGGTCTGAGAACACACGTTGTAAGCCTATTTCTCTGTAAATGGATCCCATGACGCTGTCTGTGCTGTATTTGGATTTCTGCATGTAGGGAGTCTGCAGCTGGAGGGCCTCAATGAGAGACTGCTCCATTGACTGATGAAGGAGTGGTTCAAAACCCTACCAGAAGCAGGAATGGACCAAAACCATTACTGGTTTGGTTTATGCCTTATTCTCTTTAATGGTTTATGAGGAAGGTTTCCAGATCTTTTATCCAAAAAACAAACCAATGGTTTACACTTATTTCTCCTAGTACTTTCCTTCTCCAAATCTCCCCCACAAAATACAACACCCCCCATGAGTCTTGCTTCCAAATATTAATATGTAGTGAAGCACACATACATAGTGCATTTACTTCTGTGATCAACATCCCTGTCAGCTACTTCCTGCTCCAAGCCCATCTCCAAGCAAGGCAGCTCAGCTCACATGTTGGAAACAGCTCTAATAAAACCGATGTTCAGAATTTCGCTATTCTGCGCAACGTTAGAGCCAAGGAGCTCATTTATTAACAAAATCTCACGAGTTAGCTAGGAGGTAGGAAAAGATTTATAATCTTCATTATGCAATGAGTAGGATGAGGAAGAAAGAAGTTAGTTCAGCTGACCAACATTACAGAGATTTTCTTTGGAAGGCAAAGAGAACAAAATGTAATGCTCCAATGGCAAATCCTGAGCCTTCATAAATACATATTCATGGCACGGCATATGGTACCTCTGTTTATAGGTAAGGAAACTAAAGTATACAAAAATGAAATTATTGGCCTAAGGTTTAAAACATACAAAGTAAACTAATATTGCACAGAGCAGAGACACCCACCCGAGCTCCAAAGAGGTACAGACATAGACTCCCAGAAAAGTAGGGCTGAAAGGGACTTCAGGAGGCCATCCAGCTCAACCCCCTGCCCAAGGCAGTGTCATCCCTATACAAACCATCCCATACAAGTGCTTCTCTAACCTATTCCTAAACCAACAATGAACTCAGTTAAAAACAGCAAGAATACCCTAACCTGCCACAGGCAAGGCAAGGGGACAAAGGCTCTCAGTATCCTGCAACTACAGGTATTGTTAAAATACGCTCAAAAGACACAAGGAAGAGGGTCATGCTCTCACTACAGAGGAAGGCAAAACCCCCACAGTCCATATACATGCACATATACATGTGCTAAGCATGTATGCCCACTAGTAGAGCCACATTACCGCAGTGCTATACACTGCTGTGAATGCAGGCTGCTTCTTCTCAGGAAGAGCACTGTGCTTATGATGGGCAGGACTCTTTTGATCCTCAAGGTAGCTTGACCATCTCTGTACAGCACTGCTTTGTGCTGCATATACAGACACACAGCCCTAAATCCTATTTCACCTTCACACGCTGACGTGGCACTCACATAATTGGATTCCTGCCATTTTTCCCATTTATGCCCCGGTGGAAGTCTGTTTGCACCTATGGCGGAATGGGATCACCCCAGTAGTTTACGTCTGCCAGAGCACCGAGACGAACCCTCCCACCTTTCAGCCCAATAGCCAGCTTGTTAATACACTTTCTTAGGGAGTGAGAGACCTGAGTCTATACTCCCATCTCCTCCAGAAGGAGTTTGAGCCTCAGTGTCCTACTTCCCAGGAAAGGGCTCTACCCACCAGGCCATGAGAGCACCCTCCAGCCCTCCCCTTGATCTGGCCCACCGAGCAGCCAGGAGGGGAGCAACCATGGGAAGTGTGGCTCAGTGGAAGGGAGGTGGCTGTGGGGTCAGGCCCTACCCCAGCCTCCAATGAGGCAAAAACCATCCTACTGCTTCACGTCCACATTATGGTACAGCTAAATCAGTAGGGGAGAGGCCAGAACCCAGAACCCTGTCGTCCATCTCCCTGAGCCTCCCTCCCACTTCCCGTGGCCTGTAGTTGGTGCACTTTACTGGAAAACGAGAGATACAAACACAAACCCTCTCTGGCTAAGAGGGGCCTAAAACCTTGATCTCTCACACCCCAGCAAGTGCCCTGTGCAGTTGGCTATTGGTCTAAAGGTTGCACCCTACCCTACCCTACCCGCCCCTGGCATCAAGCACCTACTAGTCATGTGCTTTCTCACCTGATGCTACACATGTGCTAGGGTATTATATTCCACCTAGGCGCCTACACACGCTCAGAAAAGAAGCACAGAGTGAGTGCAGCTGTGAAAGTGTGAACACAATCCAAGTGGTGCATAAGCTCCACAAATGGCTGGGACATGGCTCTGAAAGCGTCATATTGCCATGTGAAGGTGAAAGAGGATTTAGCCCTTGGTCACAGATCCCTGCAGTTACAGCCAGGATCCATAATTCAATAAGTACCAGCATCCACATGTCATTCTGTGCTAGATTATGGCAGCAAATTGTGTGCTGTAACATTAGTCAACACTTCCTCCCATGTCAAACACTGCTTACCAAACCAGATGGTTTTGGCATTATTTTTACTAACAGAAAGAGAAAAGAGGCCTCTGTTGTTTTTATTTCTTTAACTGAATAAATGCTTATTAAAAAAAAAAAAGATGCCTTTATTCTTCGTTTCAGCCCGGCCATGCTTAGCTGAATTATAAATTGTGGCTGTGGACAGATGAACAAATTCTGTGTAAGTGAAAGGGAGTGATTTACTGAACGTCAGATCTGTTGTGACTCTTTCATGCGTCTGTTCCTATCTTGAAGTAAGCAGAAGCTAAGCCATAGTATTTGAGCAGTTGCTTCACTCAGGGTTAAATTGCCCGGGTTTAGCTTTGTTTGGCTATTACATTACACTCCCCTTCAAGTCCTCCGTTACCCTCTTTCTTCTTGTTCAACACATGATGAATGATATGTAGACTGTGAGGTCTTTGAGCTTGTCTGTACTGGTTCAGTGGTGGGTCTTTTGGAGAAGGCTGAACATACCATCGCCACCGGGCTCTGGAGTCCTGCCCCTTAATTAGCACTCCTGATCTCTATCATACTAAATAAAGATGGCCCACTCCACTGGCAAGGGAGAATCAAGTCTGTCATCTGATGGTGCTGAAAAGATAATGTTCAAAGTGGGAAGAAAGCAAATGGAGCAACTTGGACACAGTAACCCTGCTCAAGAGATCAATGCAAAGTTTGGTTATGCCATCAATGTGCCTTCAAATCAATATTGTATTGTTCTTTAGTATCAGATTGATGGAATAACAAAGCGTTTAACTGGTGACAGCTTAAGGAGCAAAAGAGCCCGGTGTTCCTGTATTATACATTACTATTGTTTCCCAAGGTCAGTTTTCCTCTCTCTGTGCACGTTGGTCTCAGTGGTGCTAACTGTAACACGAGTGTTTAGGTAGAGAACATGCCCTGCCTGTCGCCTCTGACCGCCCTCCAGCAAAGTCAGGATTTCACTCTGAGGGCTTGTTTTGACATTAGGGTGCACTTTATTTTCACCACGTATTTGTGCAAGAAAGAAATGATTATCTGTCACATCAAGCCTTATAAAAACAAGAGCAAGCCTTATAGAAACTCCAGCGCTCCCAGACTCCAAGACACGATGCTGCACAGGCTCATTTACACCGACAGCTGGGAGTCACCGTAACAGTCAGCTTGAACCAGCCTGACCCTTTTGTCTGCAATGTCCATCAGGGCTGTGCAACTTCTGGGCAGCTGGGGACTGACTGCAGGTAGCGCAGGGTGCAGACCTGAGGGCTGCACACCTCGGGGACTGCTCCCCCTTAACCTCCCCACCTGCCACCGGGCACAGCCCAACTCCCTTTTGCCGCACATAGCCCAGCTCTCTGTCCTGGCCACACATGGTTAGCCCAGCTGCCCCCAGCCATGCGCGCAGCAAGCTCACTCCCTCCCAGCCGTGCACATCATGTGGACAGCCCACCTGCAGCATGCAGCCTGGGCAACCCAGCTCCCTCTTTTTTTTGAATACGCAGCACGCGCAGCCTAACATTATCCCTCCTGCATGCACTACTGCACTTGGCTCCCTCCTACAGCACTACTGCACCCCAGAAATGGGCGCAGAAACCAGAAGCCAGAGGAGAGAGGGGAGGCCAAAGACCTCAGCAACTGCTGCAAGGTGGCGGCTCGGCAGAATCAAGACATCCAGGGTTCATTCACCTCACCTGCCACCAACGTCATCTATGCCATCACCTGCTTAATATGCTGCTTAATATTCACCTCCTCAATATTCACCTCATCCGCTACCCTTGTCATACATGCCATCATCAGCTTCTCTGCTGTCTACATGGGGCAGATGGCACGATCCTATGTGAAAGAACGGATGGACATTGATCTGACACGCGAGGCCATGGCAGAACACTTGGATGTCCCTCGCTGACATCAGAATAGCTGTTCTTAAACAGCAAAGCTTTAAAAACCAGGTTTGAATGGGAAATTGCAGAACAAGTCATCATCGAAAGACTGGATTGTGTTAAGTATGGTCTCAATAGAGATTCTGGGTGCTTGTTCTAGACTGGCTTTTATAATCCCTATGCCCCTCTTGCTTGGGTGATCTGCTTTGCTTATCCCTTTTGATCTCTTCAACCACCTTGCCTCTCTCAGCAGTGCCCCCTTCTTTCCCCTCTTTCCACATCTTTGGCATTTAAATGACTTTATTCCTATCTGTTTAATACCCCTGTGCTCTGCAAGTCTATTCATAGCATCCAATGAACTAGAAAAGCCCATGCCTCTCTGAATGAGTAAGTGTATAAGGTGCCTGTCTTCCATCATTGAGATTAGTCACTCCAGATTTGTACCCACTGAACATACTGGAACTGGCCCCACATCC